GGAAGTTACTCACTGGGTGCAGCCCACGCTCACAGTGAGGGGATGATACGTAGAATGAAGACTGGCAGTCCTCTCAATGCCTACCTAGTACATAGTTCAGATCCCAAATCAATGCCAGAGTTAGGCTACGTCACTTTCTCAGAGCTCTCTTCTCCCCCATGCTCGTCCAGGACACTGCTGGTACATTCTCCAGGCCTCAGAGTAAAAGTTTCCCCCTCCAGGATGGAGTTAAGTGTCCCTCAAACATGCCTCTGGTGACACCCTGCGCTTTATCGTAGCCCCTACCACGCTATGAATTACCTGGCCACTGGTCTGCCTCGCGCGCCTTCTGTAAGCTCTGAGGACAGCAGCCTTGTCTTTTGTCTTCACTGATGTGGACCCAGAGCCAGGCCCAGGGCCACAAATGTATCAGGCGTTCGGTTAAGGTTTACCAAATTTAGTAAGCGAATCTTCGTGTAATGTGCCTCCATTACGTCCTTCTTCTGATGGAAACTCATCAGTAGCTTCTCATTACAACGAGTAGGGAGTACAGACTCTTCTTGGAATGGTATTCAGGCCTTTGCCCAATCTGGCCCCGGGCCCCATGCCCTCCATGACATGCACAGCCCCTCGTTAGCCTCACCGAATGCCCACCTCCTCTCTGAGCCAGATGCACCAAGGATTTCCCACCTAACTCTGCCTAACAGGCCCTTAATCCTTTTCACGTCTAACAGATCCGTGCTCCTCCTTCAAAACCCAAACCTCACGTGGCCCCGTGGCCCCGCTGCCTGCCTCTGCATAACTTGTTCAGACCTCTTTTTAAAGCACACCCTGGCTCCGTTGTTAAGCGCCCAACTTCGGCTCAGGTCATGATCTTGTGGTTTGCGAGTTCAAGCCCCACAACAGGTTCTGCACTGGCAGTCTGGAGCCTGCTTGTGATTCTCTCTCTCTCTCTCTCTCTCTCTCTCTCTCTCCCCCCCCCACCCCCCATCTCTCACTCTCTCTCTCTCTCTGCCCTTCCCCCCACTCGCACATGCACACTCTCTCTCAAATAAACTTAAATAAATAAAGCAATAAAGCACGTCCTGTCTTGTACCTAGCTGCTTATCCATCTGTGTCCCTGGCTAGCCCATGAGCTTAAGAGCAACAAACCAATGTTATTCACCTCCCAGGGCTACTACAAAGTAGGTAGAATGCAAATATTTGGAGAACAAAGAATAGTTGGCTACTAACACACAGGCTCCCTGGGGGTCCCCCTCTTCTTCTCTCTGAGGAAGAAGAAAGATGCTTCCTGAATCCTACCTCTTAAAAGTCCCACCGCGACTCCACGTGTTCTGGAGAATGAGTTCTGTGTCACTAAATTGAGGGTTTAAAATAACATGTTTTTTTTTATCTCACAAAGATGTCTTCTAGCACATCGTTCAGATGTTTTCCTAGCACGAACCTCCCTGTGCCATACACCTATGCCTCTAATTTGACAATATAAACTATTTGGACCTTATAAACTTGCTTTCCTGTTTACACGAAGTCTTCAATCCCTGGAGCCCTAAAGCCCAAAGTGCTACTAAGAAGAGGCTGGTGAAAGACGCCTCCTCCACAGAGGCCTGCTGTTACTTTGAGCTGCAGAAGGCCCGTTTGGGGGCACCTGGGTGGCTCAGTCGGTTAAGCAGCCGACCCTGGCTCAGGTCATGATCTCACGGCTCGTGAGTTCGAGCCCCACGTTGAGCCCCATGTTGGGTTCTGTGCTGATGGCTTGGAGCCTGGAGCCCGCTTCGGATTCTGTGTCTCCCTTTCTCCCTGCCCCTCCCCTGCTCGCACTCTGTCTCTCTCTCTCTCTCTCTCTGTCTCAAAAATAAATAAACGTTAAAATAAATAAATAAATAAATAAATAAATAAAGTAAAATGTTTATAACTAAAAAAAATAAATAAATAAGCCATCTAGCATATTTCTCCGTTCGGATGTTATTTTTTTTTTCAGCAGGCTCCATGCTATACCGACTGAGCCAGCCAGGTGCCCCTCCATTTGGATATTAGACTAACCATGCTGAATCTTTCATTGTACTTTTAGAGTTTTTCTCCACCCCACCCCCAAGATCTCACAATAATTCAGGGCAGTAGAGTAGGTATTATTCCCCTCGTTTATTATGAAATTAAGTACAGAAAAGTGAAGGGATCTCCCCCAAACTCCCAGAGTACAGTGATAACATGCTGAGATAGCAGCACCATCCCCGTCATATCCCACATTCTGCCCGTTCCGACTGTGTGACCTTGAACACGTGACTTAAATTCCCCATGTGTCAGTTTCCTTATCTGTAAGCAGAGATAAAAATAACACCAGTCTCATGGGTTTTGTGACGATATATGGGCTAATATATGGTGAACATTAATTCCCTTCTGCAATCACTTGAAAAGAAGCCCACTAACCCAGGACAACTACGCTTGTTCCCTCAACAAGCATGGGGAATTGAAAAGTGCCTGGAGTATTTCCGTCGCTAGTGAAAAAACCCTCTTGGTACTGAGTCAGCAACAGCTAAGGCAGCTTCTTCCAAAGTAGGTTCAACAGGATAAGAGGTTTCATAAGATACCCCAAGGAACAGAAGACTTTAGTGGTGACAGAGCTCGGAAAACATAGAGAAACATAGCCTCATCTTAGAATCATGGCGGCACGTTTGCACATTATAGGCACAGAGCGAACCTGCAGTAACGGGTTGGGGTTTGATTGGTACAGTCGTCTTCATGCTTCCTTGACCACATAAAGTTTATTTCTCCCAAACACCTATGATTCAACAAGACTCGTGTCCTGCAAGTAACACTGACCTTGTAGAATATTGTGGTAGAACACAGCAGGAGGGACAGCAAGTGTCTGTAAGGACCAAACAAGGTCCTTTCAGGTTCTTGTCTTCAAAGGAAGACGGGAACATTTCAGTTCCTTTTAAGATAAATTTGGGGTCATGGTTTCTGCCTTTTAAGCCTGTGATACATTTTCAGGAAAAAAAGAAAACATGTAGCGGAGTGTTTATGCCTTTCCAGATAAGGAAACAGAGGCACAAAGAGTTCCTTCTCTGTTCTTCTGTCCTTACCATTCCCCCCTTCAGAAATGCCCTCCCTGCTCCTCTTTGCACAGATCTGGACACCTGCATGGTGCAGGTCAAATGCCACCTCCCTCGTCAAACTTGTCTTGATTCCCTTCGCTGTCCCTCCTCTGGAAGCTCATAGCGTTGTATGACTTGCCCTTGGGCTATCATGGTTTGTGTTCTTTTTTTTTTTTTTTCCTTAAGTTTATTTATTTTGAGGGGGGGCGGTGGGAGGGCAGTGAGAGAATCTCAAGCAGGCTCCATGCTGTCAGCTTGGAGTCCGATGCAGGGCTCAGTTCCACAAACCGTGAGATCATGACCTGAGCTGAAACCAAGAGTCGGTGGCTTAACTGACTGAGCCACCCAGGCGGCCCTGGTTTGTGCTCTTCAAAGCCACTAGACTTAACTTCACCTTTCTACAGGTAGGTACACAGTAGAGTTCAATAAATAGTTGTTCACTGCCTTCTTAAATGTTGTTGAATGAATAAATCACTCACTTTTTTTTTTGGCAGGCTCCACACCCAACCGGGGGGCTTGAACTGACGACCCAGGGATCAAGAGTTGCACCGCTCCACCGACTGAGCCAGCCAGGCACCCCAATAAATCACTCGCTATTCAACAAGGAGAGGAATAAATGAGCTTCCCTCACCCTATAAAAAGACAGTAAACCATCTATGTTCTGACGCCATTACCCTGAGGCGGATCGTCCTGAAACAATCACCCTCCTGTTCACAGCCGCTTTAGGGGCCCTTCCCCTCATTGTGTCCAGCCAGTGTTTGTCTTCACAGAACTAGCTTTGCTCTACCTGAATCCATTACCCCCCTGCTACCTAGAGAGGCTCAATTAAAAAAGCAATCTTTCTGGGGCACCCGGATGGCTCAGTCAGGTGAGGGTCCAACTCTTGATTTTGGCTCAGGTCATGATCCCAGGGTCATGGGATCGAGCCCCAAACTGGGCTCTGCACTGAGCATGAAACCTGCTTAAGAGTCTTTCTCTGTGCCCCTCCCCCGCTTGCTCATGTGCATATTGTATATACTTACTGCCTTCATCCATCCTTAACAAAGTACCACAGACTGGGTGGCTTTATAAACAACAGAAATTTCTTTCTCAGAGTTCTGCAGGCTGGAAGCCTGAGGTCAATGTTGGGTGAGGAACCTCCTCCCGGTCACAGATTTCTTGTAACCTCACATGGTGGAACAGGCCAGGGAGCTCTGTGGGGTTTCTTTTATAAAAGTATAATCTTGTTCATGAGGTGGGTGGTGTTGGGGCTGGGTGTGGGGGGCGGGGAACACAAATATTCAGACCATAGAAGCCAGGGACAGATAGAAATGTGCGATATGTGAGTGTGAGTGTGTGTATGTGTGTTGTCTGAAACCCACAGCGGGAGGAGCCCCTGTGGGCATGGGGAGAGTGAGTTAGATGCAGACTAAGAGCTAATACAGAGTCAGAGACTGAGATGGAGACAGATTCGCTCTGGGTGTAAAAGTAAGAAAATAGAGCGTTTAAACTCCAGCGCTTTCCCCGTCACCTTTCCCTGGAAGAGAACTGAGGATGAAAGAGAATTCAGCAAGGCACAAACTCAGCATTTGCACTGCTGGCATAAGGAGAAAGTGGCTCCGATGTTCCCAGGCGGATGTGCATCCTTTTCTTGGCTCTACCCCCGCTACCCGCCCACATGAGCAACCTGTGGGCCTGCAAAGAGCCCGAGAACTGGACACCGACTTTACGTGTAATGGTGACGATAAGTAAGAACGACATTCCTGCCGTATCTCCCTTTAAAAGCCACTAAGTAGTTTCACGTCATGTATCTCATTACACACAAAACCACCCCAGAATTTAAGTCGGGTGGGACATTTTAATCCCCATTTTAGAGATGAAGGATCTGAGGCCGAGGAAAGAAAAATGTATGAGGAAAATGAGGAAAAATGAGGCCGAGGAAAGAAAATAATATAACCGGGAAGAAGGAACAGCATAAAACCGGTGACCTCTTAGCCCCCATCTCCTTGTCTTTCAGAAGGCATACTCATTTGCGTCTTCCCAGCAGTGTTGTAGAGGAACATCCAGAGCGTTCACCGTGTTCAGGACAACAGGAACCTCGTCATTGTTCTCTTCAAAGCATCCGTAAGCTCTCTGTTTCTCATGCTGTAGATCAAGGGGTTCAGCACAGGGGTGATGAAGGTGTAAACCACAGACACTACCTGGCCTCTCTCTGGAGAGTACCTGGAGCTGGGGCACAAGTAGATGAGGCTTCCACATCCGTACTGGAGCAGGACCACAGTCAGGTGGGAGGAGCAGGTGGAGAAGGCCTTGTGCCTCCCCTCTGCCGAGCGGATCTTCAGGATGGCGGCCATGATGAAAACGTAGGAGAGGGCGATAAGCAGGAAGGGGATGGTGAGGACGGTGAGGCTGACCACCAACAGGGTGGCCTCATGGACCCACGTATCTGCACAGGCCAGTCTCATGACAGGGAGGACATCGCAGTAGAACAGGCTGATTTCTTGGCTGCGGCAGAAGGGGAGGCGGAAGATGAGCACAGTCAGCTGCATGGCCAAGATGAACCCCAGCGCCAGAGACCCCAGGGCCAGCTGGACGCACAACCGCCAGCTCATCATGAGGGTGTAACGCAAAGGGTGGCAGATGGCCACAAACCTGTCATAGGCCATGACAGCTAGTAGAATGCAGTCAGCGCTGCCCAGGAAGATGAAGAAGAACATCTGGGCACCACAGCCAGGCAGGGAGATGAGGGCTCTCTCTGCGGACAGGACGCTGGCCAGAGTCAGAGGGGCAATGGTGGAAGAGTAGCAGATCTCCAGAGCTGCCAAGCTGGCCAGGAAGAAGTACATGGGGGTGTGCAAAGAATGGTTGCTCCAGATGATGAGAGAAATGGAGCCGTTGCCGCCGATGCTGACCAGGTACATGACGAGGAAGGCCACGAAAATCAGCATCTGCACCTCGGGGAGTTTGGAGAAGGGGCGGAAGTAGAAGTGAATCATCCCAGTCTGATTTGTACCCTCCATGTAGTCAACAAGCTGGGCCTGCGGATGGCGCGGTGCTGCCCCCCTGAGGAGAGAATGAAGGCAGGACGCAGAGCTCCTGCCGGGTGACCCATTCAATCCTTGGCCTCTCCCTTCCTTGATCTCCTCAACCCCAACGGTCTTCACCTCCTGCCTAAACTCATCAACTTGCTTTTAAATCAGACTTCTTGTTGTAATCACCCAAAAGTAGTTCACCACAGAAATATTTTTTTTTAATTGTGGTAAAATATACATGCATAATATTTCTAAGTTTAGCCTCATGTAAGTATATGATTCAGGGGCATTAAATACATCCACCATGTTGGGTAAACATCACCTCTATCCATAACCAAACTTTTTAAAATCATCCCAACAAAAACTCTGTACCCACTAAACAATAACTCCCCATATGTCATCCTCCCAAACTCCAGTCACTTCTACCCTGATTTCTGTCTCTATGAGTTTGCCCATTCTAGGAACCTCATACAAGTGGAATCATATGGTATTTGTCCTTCTGTGTCTGGATTATTTCACTCAGCATAATGCTTTCAAGGTCCAGCCATGTGGTTGCACATGTCAAATTTCCTTTATTTTTTACGGCTGAATAGTATTCCATTGTGTGTAAATACCACATTTTGCTCATCCATTCATCTGTTCACAGACACTTGGATTGTTTCCACCTTTTGTCTATTGTGAACAATGCTGCTGTAAACATAGGTGTGTAAGTATCTGTTCAAGTCAGCACTGAAATCTTAAATCACACAGTACCATATTCAGATGACAAATTCCTCTGTGCCCTCATCCCTTGCCTGGTTCTCAACAGTGCAGCCTCTGGGTTTGGACCATCTAGGTTCTAATCCCTGATCTGCCATTGACCAGGAGTATGACCTAGAGCAACTTGATGAAGCTTTCTGCTTCAATTTCTATATCTATAAAGATGACAATGGGACAGAACTCTTAGGATTGTTGTGAGAAGTAAATGTGTCTGGCCCCTAGTGAACTCTCCATGAGTGTGAGCAATAATCAGGAACACTTCTTCTCCCTCTTCAAGACCACTTTGACGCCTCCAGTTCCCCCAAATAAGCCTCCTTTGGGCTTTACTCCCTTCCTCACCCAACCAAGACCTATGGTTCATACCTTCCATTAGTTTTTGCCAATATTATCCCCATCCATGGCTCCTTGACCTTTTGCCAACCCTGTTGTTACCTTCTGTAATATCCAACATACCTATTCCAGGTTGACCACGACTAAAGATTACAAAATCCTGCTGAGTGGGGCCACAACAAAGGGGCATTATCAACCCTAGTACTGACCCCCATCCTCTAAAGAGCTCCTCCTTCTGGTCCCCTCCAAAACTAGTGCAAATTTCCCTGGTCTCTTCAAGTCTCCTCTTCTGCTACCTCCTTCCTCACTAGCAGTGGATGACCCAGCCTCCCAGAAAAAAAATTACAGAAGCTACTTGGAAGCAATTGTCACTAGTGCTGGACCTATAACATAGGATCTATAACACATCCATAACACATTCCCTCCATCTGACATCACCCTCTAATGGTTCCCTAGCCCCTTCCCATCATGACTATTTCCTACTCTTTAGCCCAGGCAACCCAGTTTCCATCTTACTACCTGAAACCACTCTAATGAAGTTCACCAACGACTTCCAAGTCATTGAATCCAACAGCTACTTTGGACTTGAAGCTGCCAGCTACTCCCTACTCCTTGAAATTCCCCACCCATAGCCTCTGTAATGCTATTCTGCCCAGACTCCCTTCCTACCTCTCTAGACACTTTTCCATCTTTTTTCCACTTTTCTGCTTTTCCATTTCCATCATTTTAGAGATTACTCTTCCTCTTAGTGATGTGCAAAAGGAAGGTTTTCCTGACTATTCTAGGTCTGCTCCCCAGATCGACTCTCCACCCTGCTCTGCCCCTGGGAGGCTAGTCACTAAGGACTGCATTAGTCAGTCACCCTCCCCCTGTGGTTTCTGGTTGGGTTTGGCTGATGAAAGCTACTGACAGGAGAATGAAAAGTAGCATAAAGAGCAGTAGGGTATTTATCCTCCCCTCCCCCAATAACACACACACACACACACACACACACACACACAACCCATATTACATCTCCTGCAGAAACATAAAACTGACAGTTTGCCTTTCTTCCAATGATTAAGCAACTCACAATGCCACAGTAAGAAGGGGGGACCACTTTGCACCCCGAGTTAAACCAAAACAGATCAGCCTGACTGGTTTATGGATGCCCAAAAGAATGTATTTTTTTGTTTATTTTTGCTATGCTGATGTCTGAAGATGTGTCATGATCTTTGAAAATATAGTAATCATGTAAGAATGTTGTTTTCCACCATACACAGAATAATACAACCTTATATTCTTGCTGACTTACAGTTTTACCCTTTGAGTATTTGTTGGGTTTTTGTGTATTACAAGCCAGTCTTTTTAAAGTCTGACTCCCTGCATGCTTTGGAAGTAACGTGTTTTCCTTTCCTAAATGCATCTGCCCCTGCATGGGTCATCTGTTTGGCACAGCCTCGTGTCCGGTAGGAGGGCTAGAAGATGGCTGGAATCATGGTAGGAAATTTTTCATCTGGAACTTTCTGAGAGTTTTATTCCTTGAAAATGCTAATTCCTTTTCTGGAACAACATTAAGAGCACATGCCTGGGGCACCTGGGTGGCTCAGTCAGTTGAGCATCTGACTTTGGCTCAGGTCCTGATCTCGTGGTCTGTGAGTTAGAGCCCGGCGTCAAGCTCTGTGCTGACAGCTCAGACCCTGGAGCCTGCTTCGGGTTCTGTGTCTCCCTCTCTATCTCTATCCCTCCCCCGCTCGTGCTCTGTCTCTTTCTGTCTCAAAAATAAATAAATGTTTAAAAAAAAAACATTTAAAAAAAAAAGAGCACACACTTGCCTGCCTTTCTCTCTATGCAGAGTGAGAATGGACAGCACATCCTCTACCCCAAATATTTGATCTCTGTGAATTAAACACTAATGGGACAAACAGTTATAAGAAAAAGAACTACTATCTATAACCAGGGATCTCACCATTCCCTGCATGTGTTTGCCTCTGTGTTCACATGTATATTTCCATCCGCTCCTTGGACTCTAAGCCCCAAGGGGGCAAGGGACAATTGGGTCCCATTTTTTACTAATGCCCAGGACCTAGTACAGTGTCAGGCACTATGTAATGCTGTATTGACATGAACCCTGGAGATTTACTGAAGCTCTATCAATGCTGGTGACTGATACTTAGTACTTTTGAAGTAGAAATAGGAATCTTCATTTTAGCACTCTGATACTAAAGAGGTGTATCCTTTCTGGAAAGATAATCAGTGTTTTCAAGAAGTAATTTAAGATGTCACATGCGTTGGAGGTGCCTGTGTGGCTCAGTCAGTTGAGCGTCTGACTCTTGATTTCGGTTCAGATCATGATCTCATGGTTCATGGGATTGAGCCCCATTTCGGACTCTGTGCTGACAGTGCAGAGCCTGCTTGGGATTCTCTGTCTCCCTCTCTCTCTGTACCACCCCAGTGTTGCTTGCACACTCTCTTTCAAAATAAATAAATAAACATCAAAAAAAAAAAAAAAGATGTCCTATGCATTGAATCAGTACTCTCAACATTAAAGGACATTTTCCTAAGGAAATAGCCTGGAATATGGAGCCAAACGCACAAAGATGTGTGCAGTGTGCCTTAATAATTTTTTATAAGGAGACAAAACAAATACTTAACAAAAAGTAATGTTTTGGGGCACCTGGGTGGTTCAGTTGGTTGAACATCTGACTTCAGCTCAGGTCATGATCTAGCAGTTCATGGGTTTGAGCCCCACATCAGGCTCACTGCTGTCAGCACAGAGCCTGCTTCAGATCCTGTCTCCCTCTCTTTCTGTCGCTCCCCCACTCATGTTCTCTCTCTCTCGCTCAAAAATAAATCAACACTTACAAAAGTAATGTTTGAATCCCTTGACATATATTCATATGATGAACTATTACATTGCCATTGAAATTGTTATAATGAAGAGGTTTAATAAGATGAGAAGACGCTTATAACATTAAATGAAGAAAACAAAGAGGCAAGACTATGCATCGCATGAACAAATTATGCGACCAATATAAAGGAGGATGGTAAACTCTCAGTGTTTTTGAGAAAAATGGGTGATTACTGTTTTCTTCATGCTTTTCTCCAGTTTTCAAATTTCCTTCCAAAAATGTGTGTTTACTTTTTCAATTACAAAAGTTTCATTGATTTTTAGAATTCTCATTTGAGAGGCAAGGAAACAGAAGTTCCCTAGCACACCCCTAGTTATACAAGCAGTCATTGTTGGAACCAGGATTAACATCTAGATACGGGCTGGGTTTATTGTTGTGAACCTCCCTCCCTTCCTTCTTTCCTTCCTCCCTTCTTTCTTTTCCTTTCCTCCTTTCTTTTCCTTTCTTTTCCTCCTTTCCTTCCCCTCTCTTTTTTCCTTTATCCTCATCTCTTCTTAAAGCCAACCCCTTAGATTCAGCTCATCATTCTAGTCCATCAAGATCTTATGGAGAATTTCAATTCTTTACTCCAGTGAGTAATCAATTTTGCTCCCACTGTCATCTACAAATTTAATGAACATGTTTCACAAAGCTATAACTAACTGGGCAATAGACATAGCTCCTGGAGACCACATCTCTTAAGCATACTACCTCCAGTATCCCTCAAAGTTTCCTTCAGAACACCAATAGGTTTTCAGAGAAGTTTAAAAGTAAAAGGTTCTCTGTGTGGAATGTCTTAAAAACTAGAGTGAATTCCACTGCAATACGCAATCACCTTGATTACAGAAGGGATGTTCAACACTCCTTGGATAAAGAATTCTCATTTTCATTCCTTAGACTCACCTGAATTCACAACCCATTCCCCAGACCCCTGGCCAGACACACACATTTCTCTCTTAATAAAATATATGTCATCCTACTTGACTATTAAAGTTACATAATTCATGCTTCCCTTTTCGTCTTAGCTGCTAGGAAGCCCAAAACTAAGTTTTATATTCAACTGCTTAGCATTCCTCAACTCTAGTAACTCCATCTCTATTTCTCTCTTGTCTTCTGTACTGTGCAAGTTGATTTTGATCTTGCTGTAACTAGGGTTTGATCGCAAGGCACTCTATTTTTAGGAGCCTACGAAGCGTGATACATCTATTATACAAACAAAACAATTATTCTTGCCTTTTGTGTCTTCGTCCAAGGTGTTGACGAGTGAATGAGAAATCTCTCCACTCTTCGATCTCAAACTTGCTCCTCCTCTGGGGTCCCCTCAGTGGTACAAAGATGACAATCCTGTGGGCTTGGTCATAGTTAAATGTTCTCTTCCATTGTCTGCTTTCTTCTGCCTTTGCTGCTGCCTAATGCCTTGCTACTTGAAGGTTGGATCAGAGAATTCCGACTCTCTTCTCACCCAGGAAATACAAACTCTCAATAATGTTGCATCTTCTTTGATGAGTCTCTTGGCACCAGTACTGCTTCCAAAGACTTGGCAAACATCCACAGAGAGA